TTTTTTTTTTTTTTTTCCAAAATAATCCAACATGAATTATTCCTTTGAAGGAGTGATTGTGAAAGTTGGGTTTGCTTTTGAGTTCCATTGACCATTAGTGCGATAGGACCTAGGCATGGCTAATTGCTGGGCACACTTGCTACATTGTTCTCAGTGAACCAGTTCTTTAGCCTGAAATTTTCCTCTTTTTCTTTTTTTTTTCCTGTTTAAAACTATATCAAATCATTCTACTGTGGCACTATTGTAGCCTGAACAACTCCAGGGAGATGATTCACACAGACGATGACACAATGCATGTACATGTCCAGTTTTGTGTTGTGGCTTCATAAAAGTGTTCAGACCTGAGCCTGGCATATTGTGAGCATCAAATGAATGGTATCTCTTATTATTAACAGTACAATAACTTCCTGAGAGCTTGTGAACTGAAATCCAACAGGCTATAAAAAGTAGCTCCTGCTTATCCAGCTTTGTGGTAGGATGGGTTCACAGTTCTTTGTTTTAATTCCACAGATATCTGGGTTAGACACTCTTCTCTGTACTGGGATATTGGAACTTTGTGGTAGGATGGGTTCACAGTTCTTTGTTTTAATTCCACAGATATCTGGGTTAGACTCTTCTCTGTACTGGGATATTGGAACTGCTGCTGCTGCTGCTGATTATTATTATTAAAGTGCTTTGACTGAGACCAAGAGTTCAGTGTCACTGACAGTGAACTGGCAGAGGCTGATGTCCCAGATAGGGGGACATTAGGGGATTCAGGCCTAATGTGGAGGTGGCCTGGCTGCCTCATGATCCCTTGTTATCAGGCCTCTTTTCTGATTACAGGTAGCCTGATCTCTCTGCACATCTATGCCCTCCATAGGAACAGTGCTGTGTGGCCTGACCCAGAGGTACTGCATCTCTGGGCCTGGAGGTCAGACAGGGTGTGGGCTGTGGGGTTACCCTCTGCCAGGATTTGGTGAGTACTTAAGAAAGCTCTATCTATCTCCTTAGGTCTTTGATCCACTGCGCTTTTCTCCTGAGAATACAACAGGACGGCATCCCTTTGCCTACATGCCTTTTTCTGCAGGGCCCAGGTAGGGAAAGAAAAAACATTCCCAGGCCCTCACGACTGGGGAAGAAAAGTGAAGACCATCAGTGTGGGAGGCATCATCTTGGAGTGCTCTGTGACAAGGGGGGCCCTTTTGCCTATTTTTTCCTGTTCCTGGGAAGTGGGTGGGGCAGGTGTTTTCGTTCTGTGAGAGACTGCGAGCCAAAGCTTCCAGTGTAAAGCTACCCAGCGGGGCCCTTTACCATGCCCCTGAGATTTGTGTTTTTTAAGCCCACATCAACGAATCAGCCAGCCATTACGTGTCCCAAACTAGTTATTGTATTTTTGTGGGCCTCTAAGAACACTAGGCTCTGTCACTCTGGTTAGCCGAACAGCTTGATGCTTCTTTGTGCTGTTTGCTGCAGGAATTGCATTGGGCAGCAGTTTGCCATGAACGAGATGAAGGTCGTCACAGCCCTTTGTTTGCTGCGCTTTGAATTCTCTCCGGATCCCTCAAAGATGCCCATTAAGATCCCCCAGCTGATCTTGCGCTCCAAAAATGGCATCCACCTCCACCTGAAGCCACTGGGCTCTGGGTCTGGAAAGTAGGTCTTCAGAGAACAAGGCCGTGGCAGCACAGGCTATGGCTTTTTCTGGGACGTTGCTCTCCTAGATTGAATATGGAGTCATTGTGGATCCCTGCCTGTGGGAGGCTTTGGAGGTGATAGCACGGACATTGACAGTCTCCTGGAAGACATCCGCTTGTAAAGGTGTGCGGAATGACTGTACACCTGGGCTCTAGAGCTCATTCCTTCACTCCACAAACATCTGCTGAACATTTGGCTGCCTTGAGAAACTTCATTTATTTCTCATAACTACATTTATTTAACTGTCTCAGTGTGTATTTGGAATATAATAGACATAAGGAAAATTGCCTAAACTAAATCTGTACAAAATAAGTAGTACTTTAAAAAGCAAAATCTAACCATCAAAGTTAAAGAATAGGAAAGATGTTTTTACTGGCATGATGTCTTTCTTGGGATGTCTCTATGGTACTTCGTGGTGTTGGTGTTTCACAGACATATAGGACTCTGGGCAGCCACAGTATCTCTAGGGAAGGTAGTAGAGTAACATTAAAGGAGGATTTCCTGGGAGAAAGGAAACTCTTTTCTATTAGGTGAAGATGCAAAGGACTTTTTGGGTGGGGCCTACATGTGATTTAGAGGTCCTGTCCTGGCAATCCCTGCAGCAGCTTTTTGATGGCTATGGGTACCTATATCTCTAGGGGTCAAGGTCTAAGGTCACTACACTCGGAGGATCAAATCTTGGAATTATCCCCATATGGAAGGAAGGGCACTAGGAGTTAGGATCAGAGATAGGAGCCAGTAATTCCAGCCTTGGGACTTGGTAAAGACACTAGGCCAATGGTTCTCAACCAGTAGTTGAATGACTTTCACAGGGGTCACCAACAATAATCAGAAAATGCAGATTTTACCTTATGATTCATTGCAGTAGCAAAATTACACTTATGAAGTAGCAATGAATTAATTTTATGGTTGGGGGATCACGACAACATGAGTAACTATATTAAAAGGCCAAAGCACTAGGAAGGTTGAGACCCACTGCTCTAGGGCATCTTGGGAAATGTGCCATATACCTTTCCCACTACCAGTTTTTTCCTTCTTGGAAGAAGGCCACAGCTTGGAAGATCTGCCTCAAGACACTTGCTAACTCCTAAAGCCCTCCCTAGAAGCTGGGATGTAAGGGCCCCATTATAGTGTGTCTATTAGCTACAAGACTTAATGTAACTAACTCCCCCTTTTTACCTAGCACACAAATAAACTGTTCTCTGAACAAATGTAGTATGATTTCAACAGTTATCACCTGGATGCTGATTCTCCAGTCATAACCATCATGTGTCTCTGGGTGGTACCTGATTCTAAACTGTATCATCTTCAGCACCTTGGCACTCAGGTAGTATAGACAGGATGGAGGTACCCACTCTCTGATAGGAGGAAGCTGTAACTGAATTTTAATATTAAGGGAAGGAACCTGAGGAAATTGAGCTGAGGCTTCCTGACTCTGAGGTCTTTTGATCAAGACATCGGTCATTAATATCAGCTCTTCATGAGTGTTTGAATAAACTCAAGAACTCTGATGTGTGTAAGTGTGTATGCGCACATGGTGTGTGTGTGTGTGTGTGTGTGTGTTTATTAGGGCCTCCTGGGGAAAGAGTGGACACTGGAACTGGTGGCCATCACAGATGATCACTGCTTCATCTTTATGACTTTTCAAATGCAGCATGAGGCTCTATTGGTCTTGGGCATGCACATGTGTGGGTGAAATGTGTTATGGGTGTGTAGTGTCTCTTTGTGTGTACTGTGGAACAGGAATGTGCATGACAGTGAACTGAGCTAAAGTCTTGCTCATTGCTTCCAGGCTGTAGAACCACTTTCTGGTTACATGTTCACCCCATTTGGAATCCTATGGTTAGACCTTGGCTGGTCACCCAGGGTTCTGGGCTCTTACTTGCCTGTGTTCTCTCAACATGGCTACCATGAAACTTTCTGCGTTGCTTGAACATTCTGCACATGACAATTTGGGCTCTTGCTCCTGCCTTGGCTCTCCCCTTGGTCAGGTGCTGACTATCCAGTCTGTCCTCTCTTGCCTTCTTAAGAATCAGCCTGCACTAGCCCAGCACACTGGTAGGTTATGAGAATAGGAAGGAGTCCTGATTGCTGTCAGTGGCTCCACAAGAAGCCCACTTCAGGAAGCAGAACATGGTATGTCAGGGAAGGCAGAGAACTTATCATGGATCCTGATCCAGGTGCAGTTTCAAGCAACATGGGAACCTGTGTTCAGAGCCAGCAAGAGAAGACAAATGCTGTGAACGGCACTGGGAAGTTTATTGCAGAAAGGAGGGAAGATGGAGAAACTTGTGTGAGGGGCGTCAGGTAGAGAGAGACTATGCAGGAGAAATTTAGATGAAAGCACCAGGTAACAGTCATGTGAAAATGATACTAGACTGAATAATGGCTTCACAACGATATTCAGGTCTTGAATTTTGGAGTCCATGGAACATATTGAGTTATTCCTCATAATTCAAAAGGAACTTACTAGGTTAGAGCGAGTAAGGCATATTGAGATGGAAAAATTATCTTGGAGTTTTTTAGTGGTCTTGATGATGTCATAAGTGCATTTGTAAAAGGGAAGGAAATTAGAAGAGAGAGGATGGGGAGGATGCTGGCTTTAAAGCAGGGGAGTAGTCCAGTGCCAAGGAATGATGATCTATCCTGAATAGAGGAGGAGAGGACTTTCTGGAACACTCTTCTGAAGAAGGTTGGTCACACCAACAACTTAGCTTTCTGCCAGTGAAACTCATTTCAGACTTCGGAGATCCACAACTGTAAGATAATAACTTTCCATTATTTTCGAACACCAAGGGTGTGACAGTTGATTATTGGTGAAATGAAGACGTCATGTAGGGAAAAAGAAGATGTTAGGAAGTGAAGAGGCAAGGAGGGAAGGTTGGAGGACAGAGGAGGTACAGGATCAGGTGCACAGTCATATGTGGGTAGCAGGAGATGGAAAGGCAAATGGGGAATCTAGAGGAAGGTAACAGGGAGGGAAGGAGGGAGGGAGGGAGGGAGGGAGAGACAGAAGGAGAGAGAGACAGAGAGAGACAGAGACAGAGAGACACACAGAGATACAGAGAGAGAGAGAGAGAGAGAGAGGAGAGACTAGAGAGAGGAGAGACTAGGAGCTAGGAGGCCAGGGAGCAAATAGGTAGGAAGAAAGATGAGCAGACAGGAAGCAAGATGGTGACAGGAAGAGATGATAGAGGACAAGATGTCAGGCAGCATGTTCATGGTCTGTCCTTGTCCTTACCAGAGTCAGTGGAGCTTCTTGAGACGTAGGTAGATCCCATTCTTGGACTTCAACACAAGTCTTGGAATGGGGATTGGGATCCTGGTGGGATCTGGCAGCAACTCAAAGCGGAGCAGGGTCAGGGCCACGGCCACCTTCAGCTCATTCATGGCAAACTGTTTCCCAATGCAGTTCCTGGGTCAGAAAGGGACAATAAAACTCATTAGCCTCTCACGTGTTTTAAGAGTTGACCCTTGAAACAGCCCAGAACAACAGTCAGAGCCTACTGTCACAGGTTCAGTCTAACATTTGTGATCACAGGTCATACCTACTTTCATCCCAGGTCTTGGTTCTCCTGACTTTTTGACATAGCCTCAACATTTTTCAAGGCCACTTTGACCTTAGTTCTTTTAGAGGTATGAAATCTGTTAGGCTAGTATTTTAAGGACTAGAGGTCAAACTTGGGAATTATTTAATAAGTTAATCATTGCTTAGTTTACTCCATTCAGAGAGATGTAGCACTTAGCTTCCACAGAGTGGAATCAGGTATCAGTAGAAAAGTTTCTACAGGAAGACTGTCTTGAGGATTCTCAAGTGGCTGCCCCATCTGCCTCCTACTTAGGGTGCCCCACCTCCTTAATCCATCAGCATCTGTAGCATTCTAACTCTACTTCAGAAATGTCCACGATTCTTTCTTCAGTTTTCTTTCCTGGACTACTTTGGTCTCCCTAACCCTCCCTCCACACTGACACTCTATACCTCCACCAGGTAGGACTGTGTTCAGTGCCTAGCTGCCTCTTCAGGTTCCATATCCCCAGTGTAGTGAGTCACAGCTAAGGTCACCCTCACTGATTCTTGAGCTCTTCCCTTATCCTAGGTCTCTGTATCATCCTGGAGATGCTCCCCGCATCTCTCCATCCCTGTCAGTTGCAAATTTCCATTCATTTTTTATGGCCATCTAGCCATCTCTCCTGTCCTTTCCCACACCTGATCCTAAACCCCCTTCCCTTCTCCTCTCTCCCCCTCCCACTTCCCTCTCTCCATCTGCCTCTTATGATTATTTTATTCCCCCCTCTAAGTAAAATCAAACTCCCTCACTTAGGCCTTCCTTCTTGTTTAGCTTAGCTATTGCCTGTATGTGAGATATGTTCTACTAGCTGGGCTGCCTTGTCCAGCCTCTGTAGGAGAGGAAGTGCCTAGTTTCACAAAGACTTGAAGTGGTAGAGTGTAGAGGATACAGAGGGGGTCCCCTGCCTGCTCAGAGAAGTGTGAAGGGTGAAGAATTGTGGGAGGAGGTGACTGGAAGGGAGGGATATGTAATGTGAATAAGGAAAAAAATATTAAACAAAACAACAAATGCCTAGCTGCAGCTATACCCTCTACTGGCTGCTACCCTCACCTCTTTTCTGTCCATCCCATTTCCTACTTAAGATCAAACTGTTGAGATGTTTGGACATGTCCCCCCCACCAACCTGGGCTTCATATTCCCAAAGCTCAGGTCAATGAGCGGCTGGCTCTTATTTATTCAATGACTGTCCCTGTTCCTCCTAGGCACCACCAGTGCCATATTCAAGGGCATGCCACAATCAGGGCATGGGATGATGCCAGGAACATGGAATATTCTGCAAATTGCTAAGTGGGCAAGAGAAAGAATGGAGGAAGAATATGTTTTAATTACAGATATATTTGTCTTTATAGATGACAGTTTTGAACTCTTAGAGGCAGGAATAGGATAGTATTATTATTTCTATGTTTTTATATAGCATAGCACCTGACACACAGTGGCTTAAAATTTATTTTACAGTTATAATAATTATTTTCCTTGGTTCTTAAAATTTAATTCATTTGAATTTAAGGAATGAAAAAAATAGAATGAAATACAATAAAAATTAAAAAAAATTCTGGCCAAAGCAAGTCGTGGGAGCCTGTGCCTGAATCCTAGTACTTGGGAAGTAGAGGTGGAGGGTCCATGAGCTCCAGACAAGCCTGAGACTCTGTCTTAGAAAGCACCACCAGCAACATGGCTCATTCCAACTTAAGCTGAATTACCCAGTACTCTCCTGGCTTCTAGTGGCAGTGACATGACTTTCCGTGAGTGGGACTGGAGAATTCAATTCACCAAGTGTGTGTACATAGCCTGTGTCTGGAAGAACAACTTACTTATAGCCTGTTCTGTGAAAGCTGATTTGCCACTTCATGAATTCATGAAATAAAAGCTCAGAAAACCCTTCTTCTATAGCACCTTTTAAGGGTTACAGTGACTTAGGTCCCAAGGGACAATTTTCCTAGAAGCCATCAGAAAGTCTTTGTCTAGTTCAGTAGTTGTTTCTAGAGTGTCTTTTATTTAACTCACAAGAAACCTTAAAAAATGCTATGTTATATGTAAACAGAGGGTTTACTTAAAAGCAGATTACTCTGCTTTTTAATGTCTTTTGTCTGAAGTTAGGCTACATAGCCTCTAAGTGTAAATTTGAGGAATATACATCATCTATCAAGCTTTGGTCATTGGGCAATTGCAAGAGAGATGTGAGCATCAACACCGATTCAAAAACTATATTGGGAAAGAGTACAAAGGTGGAATCAGTGTATCCTGGTAGAGACCTTGCCTCAAATGACCCACTGTAACACTTCAAGTATCTCATTGGACAGCAGTACATGGCAGACATACAAGCAAATTAATTACTTGCATAGTGATTCCAGAATAGAGAACTACCCAGGAATGGTGATGTGTCAGGGCGTGAAAGACTTGCTCTTTAAGAGACCTAAAATTCAACAAGCTGGACACCCGAAATTAAAATCATGTGAAAAAAATCAGTGTAAAGTCCTGCACTTAAAGAGAGGGAAATACCTTCGGCCTCTGCCTGGTCCCTTGGACTGGAGCAGACACAGAGTCGGTCTGCTCCTGTCCTGTGGAGAAACTGAATCCTGAGTCATCCAGGAGCCACTGCACTCAGAGCAGCTGGTAAGAACTCCATCTCACTCCCTAAGCCCCAGAAATACATCTGGGAGCCAGGGACATCTAGGGCACAGCAGCTACCCAAACCCTGCCCCTCCGGAATTCCACTTCCCTTCGGCCCCTGCCTGGTCCCTGGGACTGGAGCAGACACAGAGTAGGTCTGCTCCTGTCCTGTGGAGAAACTGAATCCTGAGTCATCTAGGAGCCACTACACTCAGAGCAGCTGAAACTGAATTCTGAGTCATCAGGGACCCACTGCACTCAGAGCAGCTGGAGCCACTGCACTCAGAGCAGCTGAAACTGAATCCTGAGTCATCGAGAACCCACTGCACTCAGAGCAGCCGAGGAGCCACTGCACTCAGAACAGAAGGATTACCAGATCCAAGAGGTGGCCTGAGTCCCAGGAGTTCTTCCACCCGGGAGATTAGGGGCATAAGACCACAGAGACCTCTGGACTCCGAGGAGCTCTGCAATAAGCAAGATAACTGGAAATACAGATTCCAATCTTACACAGAGAGGGCAGGTACCACTAGAGTTACCCAGATGGCGAAAGGCAAGCGCAAGAACACAAGCAACAGAAACCAAAGTTTCTTGGCATCATCAGTGCCCAGTTCTCCCAATATAGCAAGCCCTGAACACCCCTTCACACCTGAAAAGCAGGATTCAGAATTAAAATCACTTCTCATGATGATGATAGAGGATTATAAGAAGGAATTAAGTAACTCCCTTAAAGAAATACAGGAGAGTACAAGTAAACAGATAGAAGCCCTTAAAGAGGAATCACAGAAATCCCTTAAAGAAATGCAAGAAAACACAAAGAAGGAATTAAACAAAAACATTCAGGATCTGAAACTGGAAATAGAAACAATAAAGAAAGTTCAAAGGGAGACAACCATGGAGATAGGAAACCTAAGAAAGAGATCAGGAGTCACAGACGCAAGCATCACCAACCGAATACAAGAGATAGAAGAGAGAATCTCAAATGCAGAAGATACGGTGGAAAATATTGACACAGTTGTCAAAGGAAATGAAAAAAGCAAAAAACTCCTAACTCAAAACATCCAGGAAATCCAGGACACAATGAGAAGACCAAACCTAAGGATAATAGGTATAGATGAGAATGAAGATTCCCAACTTAAAGGGACAGTAAATATCTTCAACAAAATCATTGAGGAAAATTTCCCTAACCTAAAGAACAAGATGCCCATAAACATACAAGAAGCCTACAGAACACCAAATAGACTAGACCAGAAAAGAAATACCTCCCGTCACATAATAATCAAAACATCAGATGCACAAAACAAAGAAAAAATACTAAAAGCAGTAAGGGAAAAAGGTCAAGTAACATATAAAGGCAGACCTATAAGAATTACACCAGACTTCTCACCAGAGAGTATAAAAGCCAGAAGAGCCTGGACGGACATCATACAGACCCTAAGAGAACACAATTGCCAGCCCAGATTACTATACCCAGCAAAACTCTCAATCAATATAGATGGTGAAACCAAGATATTCCATGACGAAACCAAATTTGCACAATATCTTCCCACAAACCCAGCACTTCAAAGGATAATGGATGGAAAACGCCAACACAAGGAGGGAAACTACAAACTAGAAAAAGCAAGGAAGTAATCTTCCAACAACCCCAAAAGAAGATAACTATACAAACATAACTTTACCTCTAATAACAAAAATAACAGGAATCCACAATCATTTTTCCTTAATATCTCTTAACATCAATGGTCTCAATTCCCCAATAAAAAGACGCAGACTAGCAGACTGGATACACAAACAAGACCCAGAATTTTGCTGCATACAAGAAACACACCTCAGTGACAAAGACAGACACTACCTCAGAATAAAAGGGTGGAAAACAATTTTCCAAGCCAATGGTCCCAAGAAACAAGCTGGAGTAGCCATTCTAATATCAAATAAAATCGACTTCCATCCAAAATTAATCAAAAAAGATAAGGAAGGACACTTCATACTCATCAAAGGAAAAAGCTACCAAGGTGAACTCTCAATTCTGAACATCTATGCCCCAAATGCAAGGGCACCTACATACATAAAAGAAACTTTACTAAAGCTCAAAACACACATTACACCTCACACAATAATAGTGGGGGATTTCAACACCCCACTCTCAGCAATAGACAGATCATGGAAACAGAAACTAAACCGAGACACTTTGACATTAACAGAAGTTATGAACCGAATGGACTTAACAGACATCTATAGAACATTTCATCCTAAAACAAAAGAATATACCTTTTTCTCAGCACCTCATGGTACCTTCTCCAAAATAGACCATATAATTGGTCACAAAACAAGCCTCTACAGATACAAAAAGATTGAAATAATCCCTTGCCTCTTATCAGATCACCATGGAATAAGACTGGTCTTTAATAATGACAAAACCAATGGAAAACCCATGTGCACATGGAAACTGAACAACTCTCTACTCAATGATGACTTGGTCAAGGAAGAAATAAAGAAAGAAATTAAAGACTTTTTAGATTTCAATGAAAATGAGGACACATCATACCAAAACTTGTGGGACTCCATGAAGGCAGTGCTAAGAGGAAAACTCATAGCTCTAAGTGCCTACAAAAAGAAACTGGAAAGAGCACACACTAACAAGTTGACTGCACAACTAAAAGCCCTAGAACAAAAAGAAGCAAATACACCCAGGAGGAGTAGAAGGCAGGAAATAATCAAACTCAGGGCTGAAATCAACCAAATAGAAACTGAAAGAACAATACAAAATATCAATAAAACCAGGAGTTGGTTCTTTGAGAAAATCAACAAGATAGATAAACCGTTAGCCAGATTAACCAGAGGGCACAGAGAGAGTATCCAAATTAATAAAATCAGAACTGAAAAGGGAGACATAACAACAGAAATGGAAGAAATTAAAAAAATCATCAGATCCTACTACAAAGGCCTATACTCAACAAAACTGGAAAACCTGGATGAAATGGACAATTTCCTAGACAGATACCAGGTACCAAAATTAAACCAGGAGCAGATAAACCATCTAAATAGTCCCATAACCCCTCAGGAAATAGCAGCAGTCATTAAAAGTCTCCCCACTAAAAAAAGCCCAGGACCAGATGGTTTTAGTGCTGAATTCTATCAGACCTTCAAGGAAGACCTAATACCAATTCTCTTCAAACTATTCCACAAAATAGAGACAGAAGGAACACTACCCAATTCGTTCTATGAAGCTACAATTACACTCATTCCCAAACCCCACAAGGACCCAACAAAGAAAGAGAACTTCAGACCAATCTCCCTTATGAACATCGATGCAAAAATACTCAATAAAATTCTAGCAAACCGAATCCAAGACCACATCAAAACAATCATCCATCATGATCAAGTAGGTTTTATCCCAGGAATGCAGGGATGGTTCAATATTCGGAAATCCATCAATGTAATCCACTATATAAACAAACTTAAAGAAAAAAACCACATGATCATCTCACTAGATGCTGAGAAAGCATTTGACAAAATTCAACATCCCTTCATGATAAAAGTCTTGGAAAGATCAGGAATTCAAGGCCCCTACCTAAACATAGTAAAAGCAATTTACAGCAAACCAGTAGCCAACATCAAGCTAAATGGAGAGAAACTTGAAGCAATCCCACTAAGATCAGGGACTAGACAAGGCTGCCCACTCTCCCCCTACCTATTCAATATAGTACTGGAAGTCTTAGCCAGAGCAATTAGACAACAAAAAGAAGTCAAAGGGATACAAATAGGAAAGGAAGAAGTCAAAATATCGCTATTTGCAGATGATATGATAGTATACTTAAGTGACCCCCAAACTTCCACCAGAGAACTCCTAAACCTGATAAACAACTTCAGCAAAGTGGCTGGTTATAAAATCAACTCAAACAAATCAGTAGCCTTCCTCTACATGAAAGATAAACAGACTGAAAAAGAAATTAGGGAAATGACACCCTTCACAATAGTTGCAAATAATATAAAATACCTTGGTGTGAATCTAACCAAGCAAGTGAAAGACCTGTATGACAAGAACTTCAAGTCTCTGAAGAAAGAAATTGAAGAAGATCTCAGAAGATGGAAAGATCTCCCATGCTCATGGATTGGCAGGATTAATATAATAAAAATGGCCATCTTGCCAAAAGCAATCTACAGATTCAATGCAATCCCCATTAAAATCCCAACTCAATTCTTCACAGAGTTAGAAAAGGAAATTCTCAAATTCATATGGAATAACAAAAAACCTAGGATAGCGAAAACTATTCTCAACAATAAAAGAACTTCGGGAGGAATCACCATCCCTGACCTCAAGCTGTACTACAGAGCAATAGTGATAAAAACTACCTGGTATTGGTACAGAGACAGGCAGGAAGATCAATGGAATAGAATTGAAGACCCAGAAATGAACCCACACTCCTATGGTCACTTGATCTTTGACAAAGGAGCTAAAACTGTCCAGTGGAAAAAGGACAGCATTTTCAACAAATGGTGCTGGTTCAACTGGAAGACAACATGTAGAAGAATGAAAATTGATCCATTCTTATCTCCTTGTACAAAGCTCAAGTCTATGTGGATAAAGGACCTCCACATAAAACCAGATACACTGAAACTAATAGAAGAGAAGTTGGGGAAAAGCCTCGAATACTTGGGCACAGGGGAAAAGTTCCTGAACAGAACTCCAATGGCATATGCTCTAAGATCGAGAATTGACAAATGGGACTTCATAAAATTGCAAAGTTTCTGTAAGGCAAAGGACACTGTCAATAGGACAAAACGACAACCAACAAATTGGGAAAAGATCTTTACCAATCCTTCATCTGATAGAGGGCTAATATCCAATATATACAAAGAACTCAAGAAATTAGACTCCAGGCAACCAAATTACCCTATTAAAAAATGGGGTATAGAGCTTAACAAAGAATTTTCAACAGAAGAAACTCGAATGGCGGAGAAGCACCTAAAGAAATGCTCGGCATCCTTAGTCGTCAGGGAAATGCAAATCAAAACAACCCTGAGATTCCATCTCACACCAGTCAGAATGGCTAAGATTAAAAACTCAGGTGATAGTAGATGCTGGCGAGGGTGTGGAGAAAGAGGAACACTCCTCCATTGTTGGTGGGACTGCAAGATGGTGCAACCACTTTGGAAATCAGTGTGGCGGTTCCTCAGAAAATTGGACATAGCATTACCCGAGGATCCAGCTATACCACTCCTAGGCATATACCCAGAAGGTGCTCGAACATATAATAAGGACATATGCTCAACTATGTTCATAGCAGCCTTATTTATAATAGCCAGGAGCTGGAAAGAACCCAGATGTCCTTCAACTGAGGAATGGATTCAAAAAATGTGGTATATTTACACAATGGAGTATTACTCAGCTATTAAAAACAATGAATTTGAGAGGTTCCTAGGTAAATGGATGGAACTAGAAATTATCATACTGAGTGAGGTAAGCCAATCACAAAAGAACACACATGGTATTCACTCACTGATTATTGGATATTAGCCTAGAACCTTGAAATGCCCAAGATGCAACTCACAGGCCACATGAAGTCCATAAAGAAGGAAGACCAAGTGAGGGTGATTCGGTCCTTCTTAGAAGGAGCAACAAAATACTCAAGGGAGCAAATATGGAGACAAAGCGAGGGACAAAAACTGAAGGAGGGGCCGTCTGAAGACCTTTCCACCTGAGTATCCATCCCATGTGCAGTCACCAAAGGTAGATGCTGATGTGGAAGTCAGGAAGTGCATGCTGATAAGAGCCTGATATGGATGTCTCCTCAGAGGTCTTCAAGAGTCTGACATATTCAGAGGCAGATGCTCACAACTAGCCATTGAAGTGATCATGGGGTTCTCAATGGAGGAGTTAGAGTGAAGACTGAAGGAGCTGAAAGGATTTGTGGCCCCATGAGGAGAGCAACAATACCAACCAACCACAGCTCCCAGGGTCTAAACCACCAGCCTGGGAGCACTTATGGAGGGATCCAGGGCCTTAGCTGAATATATAAGAGTGGAGGGCCCTGCTGGGCACAGGTGGAAGATGAGATCCTTGACCTCATGAAGGCTGGATGCCCCAGGGGGTGGGAGTTTTGAGGGTGGGGAGGTGGGAGTGGGGGGGTAGATAGAGGTTACATCCACAAAGAAGAAGGAGGAGGTGTGAGGGGATAGGGGGTTCCTGGGTGGGTGGGGGATGGGGTAAGGGGACAACATATGAAATGTAAATAAAACATCCAATAAAAAAATTAAAAAAAAAAAAAAAAGAGAGGGAAATATCAGAACACATGCAAGTACATGACATCCACTGACATAAAAATTTGTTTGGCCAATGGGTCCACGTTTTCATGGTGTATCCTGAAATGCTACCCTCCTTTTGTGCACAGACACATCCTCAAGTAGCTCCTCCCCCTTCCATAGCCACCAATCAGGATATACCTGGAGATGTCATATATGCAGGAGGACAAAAACAAGGTATGCTGCAAATATTCTCCACAGAATATTCCATCATCATACACAGGATGTCTCACCTAGCTCCTCCTGAGAAGGGCAGGAATGAGTGGCTGTGTCGGGGAGAGTCTGGTGCAAACCTGAAAGGGTCAAACACCTGCAGGGAAACAGCACCTCAGTCAGGACAGGTAGAGGTCAATTGCAACCCACAAGGGGACAATATGCTCAGAGGTGGGAACAATAGGAGGTATTGGTCTTGAGACCAACTCCTCTGCCCTCCTTGGTGGCCTCTTACCTCTGGGTTTGGCCACACCTTCGGGTTGTGGTGGAGACCATAAATGGAGAGTGTGACCTGGATACCTGTGAGGCAGATAGGAATATAAGAGAAGATGGGTTACACTCAGGGTGACTCCTTGGTTCCTGGGACAGCAGGGGATGATATGCCTGCACAAGAAGTTTGGGTGCTAAGATCATCAATTTCAGCACATATGCATGACCTGGAAAAGAACTTGAGGCACAAGTGAGGAGTGTTAAATGGAGTTAAAGAGAGAGAAGCAAGAAAGATGAACCTGAGTTTTGGGAATAGAATTAGAACTTAAATTTGATGAAGGATTTCACTAAAGATGTATATTAAGTCCCAGAGTGAGTTGATTTATTCTGTAGTTTTCAAGTGAGTTACTGAAGTTTCAGAGAGGGATTACATGTCACCAAAGCAGGATGTGGCAGCCCTAGGGTTTTGACATAATGAGCTGTGATACAAAGGTTGCTTTCCTGACATTGCAGGGGTCTTGGATCTGCTGCTCAGTTCATTGTTGCCATCCACCCGAGTGCTTCTCAGAGACTGGACCACATATGACTCACTGCATGGAATTCATTGACCTCTTTCACTTGCTTTGTCTCATAAAAGAAACACATCTCCCTAGCCCCTGTCTGATTCTTTATCTATCCTATACATCCCAGTGAATAGTATTTGAGAGATAAAGTCATAACATATTCAAAGGTTTCTTTGTGAAGAATTTTCACACACACAGAAACAGAGTGTATGTGCTTACATATACAGATATATGTATTACAGCTTATATATATTTAATATATATATAACCTGTAAAGAAAAGAAGCTTATTTAGCTCACAGATTTGGAGCTGAAAGTTCGAACAGCCCCCTCCCCTTGGCCGCATCCGATCATGGTGAGGACAGGTGTATATCTCTTAGCAGTCTCTCTCCTTCTCTTTCTAAAGCCACTATATAGAACAACGTGAGGCCAACTCTAATCTAATCTATCCACTACTTGGTGGCTCTACCTCTAAACAACATAGTCAAGCAAAGTTTATCTATCTCAGGTTGGGGTAAGTAGCTCAGTCCTAGAGCACATGCTTAGCAAACAGAAGGCCTTTTGTACAATTTGCAGCTCCACCAAGATTAACATAAATTAACATAAACTTTCACCTTCCCAACCCCACTAACGTGTGACTCTGGGAATTACATAGCTGTTATAGTTTGGCAAGGAACAAATATCAAGCCACAGCAAAAAGGTCAGCAGAAAACAGCTGTGGGGCTCCACTTCTAACACATGCTAGAGACAAAGAAGTCAGTCATCAGGGAGTGAGGAAGCTCTGCTCATTATTTCCTTCACAGACATCCAGACAGACAAATTGAAGATTCCAAGGATTCCAAAAAACTCATTCCAATTTGTTTAAATTTGCCTTATTTGCTCTTTTTATTTGAATCTTCTCTCTCTCTCTCTCTCTCTCTCTCTCTCTCTCTCTCTCTCTCTCTGTTCTGTGCATGTATAATGTAAAATTATTAGTGAAATAAGCTTTAACTCCCCCCATTCACTATTTGGGTTAAGAATTAGGGCTGCTAGTTGGGCATCAGGTCATTTTCTCTGTGTTTGATGACATAAGTAAGTTGTGTCTTCAGCAATAGAGTCTGACCATCAGGTTATGGAGAGTAACCAATAATTTGAACTTGGCAAGAGTCTAGAGTCACATTGTATTTGCTGATCTGTATATAAATAGTAGTTATTTATAAAAAATCTACATATTATAATCAAATGTGGAGGATGATAAAAAGATGTGATTATTGGGGATTGAGAGAAAGACCTAAGCTTGATCTGCAGAACCTGTATAAAAAAAGCTGTGTGTGGTGGCACATGCTTCTTTTCCCACTGCTGGTGAGGTAGGGACAGGCAGGTTCCTACCACTCACTGGCCAGCCTAGCCTAATAGGTGAGTTACAGGTCAGTGCAAGGCTCTTGGACAGTGCCTGTGGAATGATAACTAACTTTGACCTCTGGTTCACACTTGTATATACAAACATATGCCTGTGTTTCCAGCCCCAACATGAAAACCCACATGTGACAGTGAGGACATCTGAAGAATAAGTGTGGCTATGAATTATATGGTGTTGGCCTCTGGAATTGAGTCTGGAGTATAAAAACTGAAGAATGTCACTGTTCCCAAACTAGAATGGATGCGTCATGATGAGACCATAGATTCCAAAGAAGAAGGAACGTTAGCTGATAAAAGAAGAGATGCTTGCCATGTTATTCATGCAAAGCAGCAGAACTGGAGATCATTGAACTTGACAGGAGGTCATTTAAGCTTATTATTGTACTTTATGAGTAAGAAGCATTTACTTGCTGAAAAGGAAACAGGCACTGAGAGGGATTCAGAACTGTTGAAGGACACTGACTACTGGTCATTCATTATCTCTGGAATGAAAGAACTGGGAAATTCATACCTTTTGGTAAAGAGCGTCCATCAGGGAAGGTGACAGATGTGTTGAGTTCTCTAACGATGACTGGGACAGGTGGGTAGAGTCTTAGGGCCTCCTTGATGCACATGGTGGTGTAGGGAATCTGGTCCAGGTGATCCCTGAAATAAAGTCCATACTGAAGGTCAGATAGACTGGAGGAGACCAGGGCCTCCTCCCTACCCAAAGAATAAGGGCATTTCTACTTCTTGAACTCTTACCAGGTGATGGAGGATCCATCCCCCAGGAGGCTCTGAACTTCCTCTCTGCATCTCTGTTGGTGCTCAGGGTGTGTGGCCAGAGCATAGAAGATCCAGGAGACTCCACTGGCTGTGGTGTCATGGCCCTCAAACATGAATGTGTCCACCTCAGCACGTAGGTCCTTGTCAGACATGCTGTCCCCATTCTCCATCTAGGGAAGTAACAGGCATCATCAGAGGTATGCTTGTTCCTTGTGTGTTCCCAGGCAGACTCTCAGGCCTCTACTGTACATACTCACTCTGGCAAATAAGAGGATGTCCAGAAAATCCAAACGTCTCTTCTTCTTGATCTTTTCCAGCTCTCCCTCATCCTTCAGCTGATCCTTTCTCTGTTTGATCACTCCATCTATTCCAGAACATCAATTATCACACAGACTTCAGAGCTACAGTAGCCCCATGTAGCTCCATATGTCTCCTATCCTGAAGCTATGTGCTCTATATAGGTAAGTGAGTAAGGAGTGTGCAGTGTTAGAAGACTGGTGTCATCTGATGCATGTCAGACCTCTCTCAGTACCATGGGCAATGGTAGCTTTGCTTGAGTTGTTGGGTCAGGTCTCACCACACATTACCAATATGATGACACTCACTCAACACTTGGCATTCTGACATTCCAACTCCCAACACTGACAGTGTAAAAGTATCTAGAATGTATGTGACCCAGGTCCTGTAGGGGAGTGCACTGAAGGGTGTGGATCTGCCTCAGAAGTCATCAATAGCCCCTTTGAGCTGATCCTAGGAAATGAGGGAGACAGAAGGTAAAAACAGAACCTGTGTGATCATGGGCAAGTTGACAAGCTTGGTTGGACAAGCGGCCATTGGAAGAAAGATTGTAGATGGTATCATTCTGATGAAAGATATTCCTCACACGGGAGTGAAATAGGTTATTCAAGTCCCCAATGGCCTGTATGTAGGTCTTGTAGTTTCTGAAGAAGAAGATACAGAACAGATTAGACTGTAGAGAGGTCTGACCCACAGATAGAACGGATTCTGGGAGATTTCTATATGGGAGGAATAGACAACGTTGAGGCACATACTAACTCTGTCTTATAACCCTTGTAATTTTCAAGTTGATAGAAGGTGGCATGATTGTCTAGGCATCCACCTTAGCTAGGAATCAGTGGTCTATGGTTGGGGTAGAATGGGATTGGGTCAGGGATTGACCTGGGACTGGGGTAAGATTCTTTATTGAGTACCCAAGATGTCCCACATGCACCACAGATAAGTCAATATCAGTTGGTAAGACAAAGGCCCTGATGAAGTTCAAGGGTTGTCACTCACCTATCCACCTGGACACTACCCTTGTGGCTGAAGGCACACTTCATGACGGTGTCTAGGGTCATTAAGGAGATGTGTTGAAAGATCTCTATAGAGGAGTCCTGACCAGCCAGCCGTTCCCATTTGTCCTGCAGTGGGAGAGGAACATTGACTTAATTTCCCCAGAAGACATGTGCTCAAAGGACTGAATTTTTTCCCTATATTTTAAGATACTGTGTTCTAAGTCCTTCAATTTAGATAACAGATATTTTACAGATTGTAAAACAAATCTTTGTGAAAGGAGACTTATATTCTTGTAAATTACTTCAAAATTAAATATAGAAACTCATAAGAAAGGAAACAAGTTTCACATATTTATAGTTAGTTAAGATGTTTTATCTGATATGCAATGCTGTTTTAGGGGATAAAAAAAGATATCAGTGTTTGGAGAGCTGAACTTAACCTGAGATAATGGTAGGACTTCTATGTATAGAGAATAAAAACCCCAAGTAGACAGGATGACATTTCTAATGGGGGTCCCCATTGACTAATTACTATGTATTCATCAAAAACTTGCTGATAACAGTTGATTAATTCTGGTGTTTGAATGAAAATAGCACCCATAGGCCCATAGGGAGTGGCACTATTAGGAGGTATGGAGTTGTTGGCGTAGATGTGGCCTTATTGGAGGAAGTGGCCACTAGGGGACAAGCTTTGAGGTCTCAGATGCTCAAGCTATGCCCAGTGTTTCACTCTTTTCCTGCTGCTTTTTCATGTAGAACTCTCAGCTATCTCTCTAGCATCATGTATGTCTGTGTGTCACCACACTTCCCATGATGACAATGGATTAAAACTCTAAACTGTAAGCTGACCCTAATTTTCCTTTATAAGAGTTTCTGTGGTCGTGGTGTCTAATGTGACCCTAATTAAAGACAGAAGTTGGTACCAGGAGTGGGATATTGCTGTGATAGACCTGACCATGCTTTGGAGTAGTATGAACTTTGGAACTTTGGGTTATAAAAGCAGTTGAATGCTTTAAGTAGGGCTTAATGGGCCATATGAGTAGAAGGACAGTGGTGCTGAGGGCAATTTGAATTTGAATCTGAAACCTGGCTCAAGAGTTTTCAGAGGAGAAGAATTTTAGTATGTAGCCTAGGGACTGTTCTTGTGATATTTCAGCAAAGAATGTGGCTGCTTTTTTGCCCTTGTTCAAAAAGTCTGCCTGAGGCTAAAATGAAGAGTTTTGAATTAATTGCATTGGCAGAGGATATCTTAGCATAGCCTAGTGTGGATTCTGTTGTATGGTTATTAGTACTCACTCTTATGCAGATCTATAATGAAAAGGAGTAAACTGAGCAAGAAAAAAATACAAAATGTATACTCTGAGGAGAAAGGAGGCACCAGGAAGTAGAATGTAGCTAAGACCTCTGTTGAAGGAGCTAAACAGATTAAAGAAAAGCTTGATGCTAAGTGGGATAAAGAGAGTGGTGACCTCAGAACAAGATCTCATCCAGATAAACTTCTAATTTGTGAAAAGAAATTAAAGAAAAGTAAAAAAGAATTAAAGAAGAGCCTAGGACCAGGCCTAGTGGTGTACACCTTTGATCCAAGCACTCAGAAGGCAGTGGTTGGTAGATCTCTAAGTTTGATACCAGCCTGGTATACAGATTGAGTTTTAGGACAGCCAAGCAAGGAAACCACCAAAACCAGCTGGTGAAGACGTAACTGAATGAAAAGGTCTGTGTCCAAGCCTAGCAACCATCAGAACTTAGCAGCTTTGGCCACACAGTTCTGGCTTTAGAGTCGAAAAGGAAAGGGTTATGGAATTTTCCTCCATGACTAAGGAAAGCTGCCGAGGCCAGGCATATGTCATGGGTATCCTTGCATAGAGGCTTAAAGAGGCTATTGTGTGAAGCTGGGAAGATGAAGCCTCAATTGCTTTGGAACCCCAAAATGTTGGAGATTCTATGGGCTATTTGCTGAGTAGAGCTGTTAACAGGGAGTTGAACCAGCCGACAAAGCTGAAAAAAAGTTGGAGATCTGAAGAGCACACTGACATAAGACATTAAGATGCAGCATTTGGAGTTTGCCAGCTTGTTTTCAGTCTTGCCCTGGTTCAGTATTTCTTCATCATGCTGCCTTTTCTCTCCTTTGGAATTGTAAGGTGTATCCTGTACATGTCAGGAGAATGTGATCTGCTTTTTTATTTTGATTTTACAGGGGATTAGAGTTAAGAGATTGCATGAGTCTCTTAACTTTGAACTTTGGAGTTTTGGACTTTGGACTATAGGGACTTTTGAAGTTGGACTGAATGTATTTCTGCATTAGAATATGGCTACAAGCCTATGGGGGTCAGGGAGTGGAATGTGGTTGGTGGTTTGAATGAAATGGCTCCCAAAGATCCATTAGGAGGTGTGGCCTTGTTAGAATATGTGTGTCTTTGTTGGAGGAAGTGGTCATTGGAGGTGGGCTTTGAGAACTCAGATGCTCAAGGCACATCTAGTGTCTCATTCTCTTCCTGCTGCCTTTGGATCAGAATGTAGAATTCTCAGCTACCTCTCCAGCACACCATGTATGCCTATGTTCTAACATGCTTCCCACTATGATGACAATGGACTAAACCTCTGAACTGTAGGCTAGCTCCAAGTCAACTAAAATATTCATAATCCAGAATCCTGTTGAAAGGTGCTGGTATGGAAGATTTGGCTATGACAATGTGGATCTGGAGCCCATCTTCCTGATAAGTCACTCATGTCTATGCAGATGCACTGAAACCCAAGCAAAACCTCAACTAAGTGTCATCCCGAGAAGTCTCTTTGAAGTTGAAGATTTGAAGAGGGGGAAAAGTATCCTGATGCTCTTTGGACAATGAGCAAGTGTGGCTGTATCTTTGTACCTGGAATATTTCTGTTCAAACTATATTTGAAGAATCTGTATTCATAGTAGAATACATATGTGAAGCTTGTTGATGTACACATTGAGTAGGTGAAGAGAGAGATTGAGAGAGATAAAGAGAGAGGAGATTATAAGCAGTAAGAAGAGAAGGAAGAAGAAGATGATGAAGAAGATGAAGAAGAAGAGAAAGAGGAAGAGGAAGAAGAAGAGGAAGAAGAAGAAGCCGCGCCCAGGCAGCTGTGGCAGTAGTAGTAGTAGCAGAAGAAGTAGCTGATGTAGAAAGGACAGCAGAGGTGAGGGGAGTAGAGATTAAAATCAAATGAACTCACTAGCATCAATCGAATGGAGTCGGCCATGTTTTTCACATAGGGTTTCAGAATGTCATAGTGAAAGGCTGGGGTTAGCATCCGCCGGTGCTGGAACCATGGTTGTCCATTCAGCAAGAGCAAACCATACCCTGGGCCAGAGAGAGGTGTGTACATATGTGGGATCAAATCAGAGAGACCATTAGATAATTGGGGAAGGAACTATGAAGTGGAACTGTTAGAGACAACTCTCAAGAATGGTACAGTCCAGAACATGAATTTCCCAGCTAGTGGTACCGGGATACATGCTGTGATTATGACAGCCATGAGATAAAAATAGCAAAAACATTAGAGGGAGGCAGATCAAACTGATGTTCAGATGGGACTGTTTGGAGAAGTGAAGGGTCAGAAGTAGAGCTTTGAGGATAGAACATGACAGTGATAGTCTGTCACATTTTGTTCTGTGTGAACCAGAGAAACAACATTTGGAAAATCAAATTAGAAGTAGACCACATTCCAAATTTAGACATACATACCAATCCAAGGAGCTAGCAATCTGTAGGCACCATGAGCCTTTGGATCTGAAAGGGAAACAATGACTTAACAAGAAAAGGGATAAATAAGGTAGCCCCAAGGCAACTGTGGTCGAAGCCATGGGTTTCTATGATATTTTAAGTGCTGTCTGTTGGCAAACTGTCTAATGTCACTGTGCATTTTCTCATAATCCCTTTGAGCTCTGTCCTAACAGTCAGGCCTAAGAAGGTAGGATTCATATACTAGTAGCTGGACTCCTCCGTAGCTGAGAGGCTGAGTTGGTGAGAAACAGCTCATGCAATCAAAGTCAAAGAATAGAACAAATGTGACGTGTGTGTGTGTGTGTATGTGTGTGTGTGTGTGTGTGTGTGTGTTGTGGTGTGTTTGTGGTGGCTTAGTTATCCTATGAGTCTAGGCATGTAACAATTAGAGATTTGAAACCTGGAACAATTAACAAGACTTACCATCTTAATTTGATTAAATAACAAAGAAAGATAAAGACATTAGTCTAAGGAATTTGAATTTTCAGTACTGAGTGTTGTTAGCCATGTGCTGGGTTGTAGCCTGGAAGAATGATGGAGTGTGTAGGGCCACAATCTTCTGGAGTCTGACAGGGCAAGTACCAAAAGGAAGGTGCTTATCTCTTCACAGTGGCATGTCACGCTCACCTGATCGTCCCAGAATCACCTTCATGTAATCAGGGTCATAGACAATTAAGTAGGCTTTGCTCCCCCAGAACCATCGAGGAAAGGCACTTGGGAAGCTCTCTATGCATGCCATCATATTCTGTAGTTCTTGGTCGCCGTAGAACTGCTGTTGAGGGAGAAAGATAAGGTAGTGGGGCTCTTGTTTAGTTTTTGGACTGGAGACAAGGGCAGAGCAAGCACAGGAACATAGTTTTCAATTTCTCTATAGCTGCCATAAAGGTGGGACAGTTTGATGGACTATCTGTGCTACCATTCATAGCTTTGCTATGTGGGGGCTGGTCCTGAGCTGGATTTGAGAGTCTGTTGGATGGAACTATGTTCCTATGAGGAGCCACAGGCTCAGATCCTCAGATCTGTACACTCAACACTGCATATCCACGTCTTCCTAAGAGCATCTATTATACAATCCTTTGTTGAATGGCTTTCCATGTATCCTCCTAATTGGCTCTGAACTTTATTTTCTGGGGTGACAGTCCAATGGGTTGGTACTGTTCCTTTCCAGTCTACAGGATGCTATACTGTCTACTTTCTGGGTAGTTTCAATACACCTGTGTCTGGCTCTTGAGCTGAACTTTGTGGGACAAGAAAGTGATGGTGTGCTTGAATCCATGTAGCTTACAGTGCAGGGTGTGTGGAAGGAGAAAGGAGAGCTAAATGACCTGTGGAAATTCTAACATTAAGTGTTCTCATATGAGGACCCTATCCAACCTTTTCCTTTAATGTGCCATGACTTTAGGATTTCAATTTGTAATTCACCCAGCCTGAAAATTCTGTTAGTCTGGGGCAGCCACTCACTCATCCCAGCAGTGTGAACCCTTCCTGTGCCTGATAGCTTCTAAGATGTGTATCATTGCTACACCAAGAACCTGTGGAGGCAAGGTTCTCTCTGATGTCTCATTCCCAGGCAAGCCCTGAGCTTGGGAAAGAATAGCCGCAAATGACTAGGAAAGGGATTACTTAAAAGTTGTTTGAGAACAGCAGAGATATTAAAGGTACTCAGCCAGAAGAGGAGGAGACTAGGTAGGACCAGACAAGGCTTTCAAAGTTTGAGACTATCAGTACAGAGTTGAGCAACAGCCAGACAGTTTGAATAACCCTGTTGTTAGGATGACATGCCTCAGGCTGAGCTGGACATCTCACAAGGCACTTGGACTCTTTATATATCAGGCTTTGCCCTCTGAATTTGGTGACTGGTCTCTGAGACACCCATCCTCCCTGCTCTCCCACCCATCCTTCCGTTTCCTTCAAACCTTATGTCCAAAGAACCAGTGAAAGGGAGGTGATGGGAACTGCTGGAAAGCCTTGAGTAGCCATTGCCTGTGCAGGTAGAACTGGACCGCTTTGACCAGCAGCAGAAGCAGACCAAGCACAGAGGCCACTTGGAGGAAGCCAGAGATGCTGCCTGGGAATCGACTGGAGCTCTGAGCAGAGACACTCATGGTGCAGCCACTCCTCAGTTGCAGTCCTCACTCTGACTAATCCTTTCTTCCTCCTGCCTAAATCCTGTAAGGATTGCCCGCCTACCTGTGGGAGGGAGAAGGGTGAGGCCGACCAATCTTGATCTCAAAGTTCATTTGTTAAATAACAGGAATGATTTACCTTGGGAATCAGAGACATGATTTTTTTTTTTTCAGCTGCCAGTGGCTAATGGCCAGACCTGCATCCACTTTTCTCTCTTTGTGCTAGTCAAGAACATTGACTTGTTTGCCTTTTATTTTCCTTTTCACTGTATTTGTTGTATACACTGGTGGGACAGTATGACATTTCAACACCCGAGTACTTGCACATATAAGTTAAGCAGAATAATTATAATTTCCTTAAATACTTTCCACTTATTTTTAATCTTTTCTTGCAAATTTTTATTTAATTATTAAAAATCAAACAAGTTGTCATATAAAATAAATATCTTGTTAAAGTTGTTTGTGGTGTGGGGGCCCTCACACAGTGGCTCTTTCCCAAGCTTCATTGCTTAAGTCTGTGGTCTTATTTGTTGCTCTTGGGAGGTCCTTGTGTTTCCATGGCAGACCCAGCACCTATATTGTTTCTTTTGAATGGTCCATGCCAAATGGATGTTGAGTGGTTGCTTCTTCAGACTGGAGAGCATCTAGGCACTGCTATCCTTCTCTATCTAGGTAGACCAGTCTCATGGGCAGTCCATGTCTTGGGATGCCAAGGACTCTAGCACTTGCTTTGCTTTTCTGGAACCAATGGGTTTCTTCCCATTACTTGGCACCTTCTTGTGAGACTTTTTTTGTAGATAGCATACAGTTGAATTTCATTTAAAAAATCTATTCAGCCAACTTAACTCTTTTACTTGGAAACTCTTTTCCATTTTTGAAAAGTTTCTTCTGTAGACTCTAATGTTATTCTACCAAGGCCTTGTTTATATGGGACTTGGTATATTTCTCTTGGCTTTGGAATTTCTGGTTGTGGACTTTTGAGAGCTTGAATATAGTGTGTCTTCAACAGGACCAAATTGATTGAATCTAAATGGGGTCCTTTGAATTTACTGGATGCCTATGTATTTCCCAATAAATACTGGAAAGCTTTCAGCTATTGTTAAACTAAATAGCTTTTACTAGTTAGGGATTTACTGCTGTGGACGGACACCATGACCAAAGCAACTCTTATAAGGACATTTAATTGGGTCTGGTTTACAGGTTTAGAGGTTTAGTTCATTATCATCAAGGAAGGAGCATGGCAGCACCCAAGCAGGCATGGTACAGGAGGAGCTGGGAGTTCAACATCTTGTTCCAAAGGCAAACAGGAGAAGACTGGCTTCCAGGCAGCTAGGATGAGGGTCATAAAGACAACTCCCACAGTGGCAAATGTCTTCCAACAAGGCCACACCTCCAAATAGTGCTATTCCTGGGCATATTCAAGCTACTGAAGCTTTGTTTATGTATTTACTTATGATTTACTTGTATGCATGTGCCACATGAATACTATATGTGTGGAGGTCAGATGACAACTTACAGGAGTCAGCTTTCTCCTATCATGTAGGTTCAGGTCTTGGTCCAGATGAAACTTGGTAGCAAGTGCATCTAACCACCAAGCCACCTCACCAGCCCTCATATAACAGGTTTCTTTTTATTTGGTAACTCCTATAATGTGATCATTTTTCACTCAGTAATATCTTGTTAGTCTTATATATTTTGTTTTTTTGTCTTTTTCCTATTTCTTTTGTCTGGCTGGGTTATCTCAAAAGCCTGTCTTCAAGCTCAGGATTCTTCCTTTTGTGTGATGTAATCTGCTACTGAGACTCAACTGTATCTTTATTTTTTAAGTCCTCTGTAGCTTCTTTTTTATGAACTGTATTTCTTTTTCTGAGTTTCTCATTCAAGTGGTGCTTTTTGTTTGTTTTGCTTTTAATAAAGTGTGTACTTAACATCTTGTTAAGTTTCCTTAAAATCATCATGTTGAGCTTTGCTTTTTTTTTATGGCAATCCACTGATTTTTTTTCCCTTCTGTGACACTTACCAGAAAGATATTTTTATTATGTTAGCTGTGTCTTTATTTAGATACATGTGTGGCTAATCACTTGCCTTTGCTGCTTTTATAAGAATAGCTTTTTTTGTCAGCAATGTACTTTGTCCTGGAGATGTGCCCTGGTGTTGGTAGTGTGGTTACACTGAACTTAGTTCCAGCTTTGTGGTTTCCATGCAGCATTTTCAGTTACCTCTGTGTGTGTGTGTGTGTTTGTGTGTGTATGTGTTTGTGTGTGTATGTGTTTCAGTGGCCTAGTCCTTGGGTATTTATGGGCTTCTTCTGATACTTAGGAAGCTAACTTCTTTGTACCTGTGAGCACAATGTATGCTGTTGTGTATGAGGATGAGGAGGTGAAATTTTAGTCTCTGTTGTTTACAATAGGTAGGGCTGATCTGATGGACCCAGGAAAGCAATACATGCCTGGCACAGCACAAGAAGGAAGGGTGCTAGTCAATTTCTGAGGGCCTCCATGGAGGAGGCTGCAGAGGAAGGCCCTCCTCCTCTTGTTCCTCATCTCCTCCTCTTTGAAACAGGTTTTTTTTTTCTGGGTGTCCTGGAACTCACTTTGTATACCAGGCTCACCTCGAACTCATGTATATTTACCTGCCTCTGTCCTCTGAAAGCTGGGGCTAACGGCATGTTCCACCACTGCCAGGCCACTGGAAATTCTGATCAGCCTGGCCCCAGGAATTTGGTACTCTTTAGTTTCTACTCAGCCTTTGTACAGGATAGACCTGACTGGAGTGGCAAGGGAACGAAGAAATGACAAACACGTACATACACAGAAACAGACACACAGAAAGAGCTGGGATTGGGTGAACTGGGGTCTCTGATGGAGAAGTTGAAGCTTTTCTCCCCAAGCTTACTGTGTTTATTTATACAGAGACACAGGGCTTTTGCACACATATGAATCAAGGGGGCAGAGTTAATTAATCATAGTAGTTGCAGCTGGGCAGTGGTGGCACACACCTTTTAATCCCAGCACTTGGGAGGCAGAGGCAGGTGGATCTCTGAGTTCGAGGCCAGCTGGGTCTACAGAGTGAGTTCCAGGACAGCCAGGGCTACACAGAGAAACCCTGTCTTGAAAAACCAAAAAAAAAAAAAAAATCATGGTAGTTGCAGTCTCTGTGAGGAAGAGTTCTTCAGGATCTCCAGGGGGAGAAGGCTATAGTGCACAGTTTCTGCACACACTATCAATATCTGCACACAGCTTTGCTATCCCTACAGGCCTCACACCAGGGAAGTAAAGCTCTATCCTTTTCCCATGGGTTTGAGGCCAGGGTCTTTGATATGGTCACACCCATTCACTCAAGAGTTCATTTATTCAGGGTTTTTCCACTCCTAATGATAGTCTAGGGCCATGCTGGGGCTGAGGTATAAAGAGTAGTCTCAGATAGGAGACTAGATAATGGTTATTAGCTGACCATGTCTTCATGGGGACTTTACTCACTGAATTGATCAGGGTAGGCTGCCCAGTTACTCCTGGGGCTTCTGGTAGGAAGGAAAGATCTCTCAGCTGTTTCCTATGGCCTTGGTAGGTTGAGATGCACAGAGCAGGCTGTATGGCTGATCTGTGGAAGTTTAGGAAGTTGATTGGTGCTGGCTGGATACATCATGGGATGCTGGGGTAAGGGGTGCAACTCAAGATAGTGTTGCAGGAGAACCTTGAGTGACGGCCTGAGTTAATGATGCAAGCAAGTATAAGATTACCTGACAGTGCTGCAAACTGGGCTTGAGCAAATATTTTAGATGCCTGTGGTTCAAACAGAAACTGTTGGACACCAAGTCATATGCATTCCCTACAGTTTAATCTCGTTTGGGGAAGTATAACAGTAGATGTTGTGTGCTCTATTTCTCTCTTTACAAAGACATTCTGGGTGTCTGGACTCTTTGCAATATTTGTTATTACCTTCAAACACCACTCCAGTGGAATAATACTTGCTTTTTCTTGGTTTTGGACCTTGTTATGGATGGAAACAGGGCAGATATGTCTAGTCAGCTATTTTGCTGGTGACATTTCACTTAGCATCTGCCGTGTGCTAGGCAGGGTGGTAGGGGCTGTGTGCACAGCAACAAGAAAAACAGACAGAAACCTTGACTTAAAAGAACTCAGTCTAGTTTACCAAATGTTCAATAAGTATGACTGGTTGTACCCTTGCCCTTATTTCAGTGATAAGAAACTGATAACAGAGAGTCCAAGTGATATTATTCAAAGGAAAACAGTCACTGAGCGTCCATGGTGGTACTGGTAACCTTCCCTATTGGACTACAAGGCTGCCTCCCCCAGAATCTGCTGACATGCCCTCAAAGGCTTCTGCTCTGCCTTTCTAATAACAAGGACTTATTTCTCAACCCCTAGGGCCAAAGGTCTTTTCTTTCTCTCCTAAATCCTGTGCTCTCTCAAAAACTAGAACAAAGGGGAATGGAATAATTTACACTCTGTTTTACTGAACTTTACCCTAGTTTCATGCCTACTTTTTCTATCTACATTATACTCTTCCCCTCTGACCTAGGACTTTTAGACTGTGGCCTTTTCCCTCTTTACCCAAGAACTCATTTTTTTTAACCCCTAAAATGAGGGAACATATTGTAAAGAGTTTTGGAATTTAGATCTGCTTGTCAGTTACTGTTAAGAGTTCTTTGAGAATTTTATACATGTTTTGATTATATTTATCTCCTCCCAATTCCTCCTAGATATACACCTCATTTCCCTACAGACTGAATTCTGTGTCTTCTTCCTTTAGCCTGAAATCCATTGAGTCCAATTTGTGCTGCCCGTATACTCCTGGATGTGTGGCCATTCACTGGAACATGGTCAACCTACCAGGGATTGACTATTTTCCTTATATCTTTGCTAGAATTTGTTGACAGTTGTTTTCTTGACCTTAGCCATTCTGTCTGGCATAAGATGAGATCTCAAAGTTAGCAATGTTGAACACTCTGACAGGTATTTTCTAGTCATTTTTATTTTCTTCTTTTGAGAACTCTCTG